TTTCTGCCTTTATTATTAATATGGTTGTTACTATGATTATTATTATTATTATTATTTGCAAATAAAAACTGATCGGTGAAATCGTGTTTTCGCTCTTTTGTCATTTCTCACTTTGTGTTTTGAATTTTACCACAGGGAATTCCTTTTCCCTGCAGTTCCACGGGGAATTCCTTTTCCCTTCAATTCTACAGGGAATCCCTTTTACTGCGGTTCCACAGGGGTTTTCCCTTTCCCTGCAATTCCACAGGGAATCCCTTTCCCTACAATTCCACAGATATTTTCTCTTTTCCTGCAGTTCCACAGGGGTTTTCCCTTTCCCTGCAATTCCACAGGGAATTCCCTTTTCCCTTCAATTCCACAGGGAATTCCTTTTCCCTTCAATTCCACAGGGAATTCCTTTTCCCTGCAATTCCACAAAGAATTCCCTTTTCCCTGCAATTCCACAGGGCATTCCTTTCCCCTGCAGTTCCTCAGGGATTTTCCCTTTTCCTGCAGTTCCTCAGGGATTTTCCCTTTTCCCCGCGCTGGGAATTGCTGCTGGCACTGGGAATTCCTCTGGGATCACCTGGAATCCCGACCAACACCGGGAGATTTCCTTGGAGGTTCAGCCACAAACCGCGGCAAATCCCAGGAAACTCCCCCAAATTAAGGCAGAAATCAAGGAGGGAAATTGCTTCCCTCAGGAAGAAACGCCTGGAAATGGGAATCGTGAGAGCTGGAGGAGCTCCGGGACGGGATTGTTGGGATTGCCCAGGGCAGGGCCGGGATTTGGACTCGCTCATCCCCGCGGGTCCCTTCCAGCTCAGACTATTCCAAATTCCTTCATAACTCTTCCCAAATTCCCTAAAACCAGGCAGAGCCTTTGGAGCTGCTGAGTTTTCCAAGCGCTCCGTGAGTTTGGGAGGGGGATAATTCCCAAACCAGAGGCTGCAGAAGGAAAAAAGGCTGGAAAATCCGAGTTTGGGGCACGTTTGCACAACCGGCTGGCGGCTTGGGGCGGCTGTAACCAAACACCTCCTGAAAAATCAACAAAGTCCGCAGGGGATTTGAGGGAAATCTTTTGTTTCCCTTTTTAAGGGTAAAAAAAAACCCAACAGGCCCGGGTTTAGCGGCTGGAGGGGCTGGGTTTGGGAATAAAAGAAGGGATCAGTGCTGATATTCCAGCAGGAAAAGGGGTTTGGAGGCAGCAGAGCTGGAGGAGGTCCCTGAGAAATTCGTATTTAGAGATTTATTTCAATATAAAACGCCCGCAATTCCCGGGGATTCTGCTCATGAGCATCACCAGAGCTCCCACGGGATCTTCCTCAGGAGGTGGATTTGCCTTGGGATGGCACAGGGTGAATTTTTAGTCCCGTGTTCCCCACATCTGGGGGTCCCGAGGCTGATTTTTTCCCCTTTTTGGGGTTGTTTTCCAAACAGAAACTCTGGAAGAACAACCACAAATGAATCCGGTCCTCAGGAGAGGATTTGTTCTAGCAGGCAGCTCCCTTCGTGGTTTTTCTTGGATTTGGGAAGGTTTTGCTCCTTTTGGGTGTTGTAAAAGGTGTTCAGGCTTCTTAATGAATTGAGGAATTAGTCTGAGGGTCAGGCTGAAACTTTCAGCTTTTTCCATGCCAGAATTTGCCTCTGGAGCTGCTCTCCCCGGCTTTAAAATCATCCCCAAGCTCTCGTGGGAGCCGCTTTGCAAAGCTGACAAAAACCTCTTTGACATTTTCCCGTTTTCAGAGTGCATCAAAGTGCAGCCGTTTGAGGAAGACCCTCAAAATAAATTTAAACCCACCCAAACATTTTCTTTTTCCGCTTTCCCTTCTGAAAGCAGCGTTTTCCCGAAGAGCCCAGGGCTGGAAATCGCCCCCATAAGCGAAGGGAAGCAGGGCTGGCACTGGGGCGCTGCATGCACAACATCCTCCAAGGATGCTCTCCCCAAAAACAACCCGGCGTGGACGCATTTTGATCCCAAAATTCTCTC